TTTACAATCTGTAGGGGCTAGAGGTATAGTATAAGAACAATCCTTTAAATCAATAACTATTTTAAAAGTATTTCTAGGTATTGCAGAGGCAAGGGGGAGACCAGGTTGTAATGCTCCCATGATTTCCACAGTTTCATTAATCCTTCTTAAATCTTGTAATAATCTGCATTTACCAGACTTTTTCTTTATAACAAAAATTGGTGAATTCCAAGGAGAGACAGACGGTTCAATGTGGCCTTTATCTAATTGTTCCTGCACTAACTGTTGGGCAGCTGTTAATTTCTCACTAGTTAAGGGCCATTGGTTAACCCAAACAGGTTTTTCATCTTTCCAGACTATTGGATCTGCATGCGGTGCAGGCATGTCAATAATCCCTAGGGAAAATATCCCAGGCCTTGTTTAGGAGGATCAGCTGACGGAGTCACAGGAAATTGAATTCCTTGATCTTCCTCTCCTAAACCAACATTAGGCAAGAATCCTTGATCAAACATTTGATTAGAGACCTTTTGATTAGGGCTATATAAATAAACTCCCATTTGTTGCATGACATCCCTTTCCCATAGATTAACCGGGCGGCAGGCCAGGAATAACATATGGTTGAAAAGTCCCACAATGTCCTTCTAAATCACTCCAATTTAATATATCAGTACTTTGTTTAGGATTTCTACTTTGACCAATGCCTTGTAATTGAGAGACAGTCTCCTGCAAAGGCCATGTAGAAGGCCACTGGTCAGCAGTTATAACGGAGACATCAGCACCAGTATCTAATAACCCAATAAAAGATTTTCCTTGAATTAACAGTTTTATCTCTGGCCTATTGGCTCCAATAGATTGCACCCAATAAATATCTGAGGACCCAAAGCCTTTATTCCCTCTAATGGCTTTTTTCCTGAAGTAACTATCCCGGGTAAAAGAACCAATTGGGCTATACGCTGTCCAGGCTGAATAACAGAAATTTGAGAAGGAGAACAAACCATAATTTTAATTTCTCCAGTACAATCCTCATCGATAATTCCTGGGGAAATTATGAGTCCTTTCATGGTGGAGGAACTTCTACCCAATAAAAGACCTAGGGTACCCCTGGGTAACGGCCCCAAAACTCCGGTGGGTAATGCTTGCGTTCCCATTTCAGGGGTTACTACTGCATAGGAGGGGGAACTGAGGTCCAATCCTGCACTGTCTGGGGTGGCTCGGAATAAGTCCTGAATGGATTTTTTGACTGAGGGAGGATCCGAGGGGTTGGATCCTGAAATGCCCCAAAAGTTTGATAACAGGGGCCTGAGGCTGGCCCCTCCGCCCGTTTCCCGACTGGATAGGATTGCCCATAACATCCCTTTTAGATCTACATTCATTGGCCCAGAGATTTCCTCTTTTACATCTAGGACATAAACCAGGTTCTTTAGGAGGTTTTGAAAAAGGTCTATTTTCTTTATGTTGTGGGCAGTCTCATATTAAATGTCCTGCCTGACCACAGCCAAGGCAATTTCCATTATTCCTCCTTTTTGGAGGGCCACTTCTATGTTGTTGAAATAAGACCTCTTTTACAGTTTTTCCTTGAAAAGCTGCAGCCATGGCAAGGCCCTGAGTGTAAGAGGGACCTATATCAGCACACAAGCGAACATAATCTGATAAATCAGCCTTCTTTCTAAAAGGACGAAGGGCAGCTTGGCAAGCAGAATTAGCATTTTCATAGGCCAATTATTTAGCTAAGATAATTTCTGCTTCTGATTCTCCAATTATTCTACTAGCTGTTTGCAACAAACGATCTAAAAAATTTTGGAAGGGTTCATCGGGCCCTTGTCTGATTTTAGAAAGATCCTCTGTAGCCTGTCCAGAGGAAGGTAATTTTCTCCAGGACGCTTTGGCAGCTGCATTAATTTGAGTATATACTCCTAGGGGAAAACCCAGTTGCTGAGTAACCTCAACATAAGGTCCCTCTCCTGCGAGCATCTCATAAGTTGCATTAAGTTCTCCTTGCTGTCTATTAAGGTCTGCTATTCTCTGGCATTGTTCTGCATATTCAGACTTCCACAACAAATAATCCCCTCCAGCTAGGCAAGCCTTAGCAATCTGTTTCCAATCGAAAGGCGGCAAGGCATCAGTTGCAAGAGAATCTAGCATGGCTAACGTAAAAGGGGCAGTTGGCCCATATTGGGTACAAGCCATTTTCAATTCTTTTGTTTAAAAGGGATGGGGGCGTGTTTCGAACAAGGTTTCCCTGAGCATCCTGAGCCTCAAAAACTGGGCAGGCCAGAGAAAATGCAGATACATCCTCACCTTCTTTAAAGGCTTGTTGTAAACCCTGCTGAACTGGAGATTTAAGGAGTTGGGAGTTTACTCTCACAGGCTTCCAGCCTTCAGGAGGTCCTGAAGCCAAAGCATTAAAGAAGGCTCCTTTTCTAACCGATTGTCACAAGGGGAAGGATCAAGATCTGCTATTGTACTAGGCTTGTTTTTAGGGGGTTTATGACTAGTCCATTGAGCTTCCATTTGTTTAGACAAATTTTCCATCATATTTTCTATTTTTTCCATCACTTTTTCTATTTTTTCCATCCTGTCTTCTAACTGAATTTTTTGTGAACCCTCAGTATGGGCTGCTGTCACTAAAGGCGGCCATACATTTTCATAATATTTCGCAGTTTCTACTTCAAAACCTAGAGGTTCTGGCGGAGCCGTCAGAATGATAGTTTCACTTTCAATTTTACAATTATCATACTCAGGTTCCTCTACACTCAAACTTTTAAACATATATACAAAAGGCAAGCGACTGTTGCTAGCTCCCATTTTTAGTATTTATAAGAAAACTCACCGCTCCTCTTTTTGCCTTCCTTTTGAAGGTCCTCTTTTTTCTCTTCATCGAGATCTCCTTTTATTCTTTATCCAGCGGTGTCCTTCACTGAATCCCTCGATACTCAGGTCCCTGTTCGGGCGCCACTTGTGGCGGTCCAGCCGTGACAATACGAACATGCCTGAGTCGGGGAGTGAGGATTGAGAAAGGAAAGAACACTCCAGCCTGAGTGGAGACGAAGAGGAGTCTGATTTATTTCACAGAAACAGCTCCTTTTATAGGTTCACATCAACAGGAAGCTTTTAAGGGCACACAACAACAGAAAACACCAAGTAATTGTTTTTATCTTTATGCAAAGACCGGATTTCCTGATTCTTACAGATAACATCAGATCTTCAACTAACGAGTTTCCTGTTATGCCAGGGTCAAAGAATCAAAACAAGCTCAACAAACAGTTTCCTTGAAAAGTAGTAAATGTTGATGCCTTAATTGTACAGGAAGAAGTTATTTTCCAAATGTCAAACTCCAGTGGGCCATGACTGGGCCCCCACACCACTGGGAAAAAAAGAAGCGTTTAGGCTGCCACTGGCACCAGTCAGTGGCCCCTCTGTGGTCACTTGGAAGCCAGGACTCCAGTTGTCTGCAGCCGCCAGGGAGAAGCCTCAGTCCTTACAGTGTTTCCCTGACCCAGAGAAATAGCTCCGGGGAGGGAGAGATGTTTCCTTTGATGGTCCCGTCGGGGCAATGACATGGATGAAGTGGTAACTGAATAGAAGTGGATCTGCTTCATGTAGTGCAAACGTGTTAAGAAAAACGAAATGGATCTTACCCGAGCACAGGAAAAAATTGAAATAGCCCAGAGGGTGTGATTTCGTTTGATAGGTCAGCTGGAGCGACCCTCTGGAAGTCAGGAAGGGTCTAAAGGGGAAGGAATGATGAATCGACTAACAAAATAAGGGCCCATCTATGCCAGGCACAGTGGTGTTGGCCACGGACGGGAGAGATTGTGAGTCTGGCTCCCAGGAGGAGGGAGGGAGACTGAGGTGACTTTGTGTCCGAAGTGGGTGGCCATGTGTGTGACAGAAGAGAGATGGATCCGTAGCGCCTGGGGCTGGCCTGAAGACACAGGCCAGTGAGCCAGCATCTGTGTATGCCCGGGACGGCAGCCAGATCTCCCGGCCCTGCCTTGCCATTGCTGCTGGGAATGGTCTGTGCACCCGCTGCCTTTCAGTCCTGAGCTCCTGCCTCCCAGAGTTAGCCCTCTCCTCCTTCCCTTCCTCCTTTCTGGCTGATCTGTCCCAGCCCCTGTCTGCCCAGGGTGACACGGATCCCTTGTGTTCCCCCAGAAAATTAAAGAGATAACCTACATGCATTCGGAAGGCATCCTGGCTGGGGAGCTGAAGCACGGGCCCCTGGCACTGGTTGACAAGCAGATGCCAGTCATCATGGTCATCATGAAGGATCCTTGTTTTGCCAAATGCCAAAATGCTTTGCAGCAAGTCACGGCCCGCCAGGTAAGGCCTCTGCGGGTCTGGGGACACCTGCTCTGCTGTCTTCCACCGTGCCCACCTCACCTACTTCCTGCCACACCAGCCACGGGTTGTGCTGCCAGTGAGCAGGGCACTCTCCTGTGCCCTTTGTGAGACGCGCACACTTTGGGAAAGAAACACCAGGCTTGCAGTCATACCCTGCAGCAGCTCCTCGGTGAGGCCCAGTGCCAGACTGTCCCCGCTGCCTTGGACTCCAGGCCTAGGGACCAGAGGAGGCGGTGGACTCCTGGCAGAGCATCCTGGGGTGGGATCTCCCAAGCTGACCAGTGCCATTCTGCTGCTGACCAGGCAGGGTAAAGTCAGATTTCACTGGTGCCTGCAGGGCTGCTGGGTCTCTCGCACTTTGGACTGATTGGCCATTACCAATCGAGGCACAGGTTGCCCTCCGAGGGCAGCTGATATTCTGAAGTCAGAAGTTAGTAGGGGGCCAGGGATTTAGCTCAGTGGTTCTGCAGCCTGCCTTGAAAGTTCAAGATCCTGTGTTCCATCCCCAGGAACCCCCCCAAAAAAAGTAGGAAGGAAATTAGGTTTTGTTAAAATAAGCAGCTGATAGCGAAAATGACCAGACATCTGTCCTAATAGCCATTACAGAACATTCAGGATCAGGAAAGTGTGTTTGTTTTTGTTTGTTTGCAGTACTAGGTATTGAACTCAGGGCCTATGGACTGAGCTACATCCCAGCCCTTTTTAAATTTTTTATTTTGAGACGGGGTCTCACTAAGTTTCCCAGACTGAGTTCAAACCTGTGGCCTTCCTGCCTTTCAGAGTGCTGAGATTCCAGGCTGGGGACCACCACGCCTGTTCAAAAGGGAGAGGAGGAGGGCGGGACAAGAAGGTTGTATGCTGTGTTTGGCATGTCAGGGACATTTTTCTTTCTCTTAGTTGGACATCCCTGTGATTACCAAGGACCTTCCAGCTCCTGGGCTGGTCCTTTCATGCTTTAGGTACACACAGAATTTCCTTAAGAGTTCTTGTTTTAGAAAACAGGATTATCAAGTCAATTTGAAGACCACCAAGTGTCCCTATTCTAAAAACCTGAAGAAAGATCACTGATTAGGAGTCTAGGGACCTTTTTTTTTCTTTGTCCTCCTTTCTGGTAATTCATCCCTCAGCCACTTAAAGGGGGATTTTCTTTTAGAAGCAACAATGTTGGGGAGAGGAAAAAACCAAAAAAAAAAAAAAAAAGTCTTCACAAAGGGCAGTTTTGCAAAGTAAACTAATCTCAAACCAGGTGACATAAAACAAAATGGCGTAGGTGTTGCCACTGATACCTGGCTGCAAACTGGGGCATTCCCATGATCCCCTCAGGGGTCATGATTCTCTAGAACAACTCAGAGAACTCAGGAAAGTACTGTGTCTCCTATTACAGTTGGATTATAAGAATACCAATCAGGTCCCAAACGTGAAGCTTCTGTGTCCTCAGGATGAGTCATCCTCCTGGAGTAGCACCTGAGAGCTCAACTAAGCCTCTGGCTCCAGGGCCCATGTTTTTATTGGGGTTTCATTAAGTAAGCATGACTGATTAGATCTTTGACTTGTGTTTGAACCGGATCTCCAGTTCTCCCTGTCTTCAGGGCCCAAGATCCCAATCCTGTAATTACATGGTGACCTTTCTGGCACACTCATCCCCTACCCTAAAACATCTTTGGACCCATTGTGACTCCTCTCAGCATAGACTCAGGTGTAGGCCCACCACGAGACAAAGATGCTCCTGTCATTCAGGAAAGCCCAAAAGATTACATCTCTCTCCCAGGGATCAGGGACAAAGATAGTCAGATTCTTTAGTGTTCAGTAGCTTCCCTGACCCAGGAGGGCAGAGCCCTATGGCTTCGTCTTGGGCTGGCTCATGAAGTTACAGGTCGGTGAAACACAGAAAGGTGATCAAGCCAGGGGCTGCCACACCGCACTCAGCACGGTGGTCAGACAGCACCATTCCCTGCCAGAAATCCTCCTGCCGCCTCCCATCCAACTGTAGTGACCCACGAGCCTGCATCACCTGTCCCTCTCCTGCAGCACTGAGTTCCACCTCCTCACTCTCCTCCCGTGTCCTGCCAAGCTCATTCCGCCTCAGAGCCCTTGTGCTGGGTCTGTCCTCTACCCAGAATGCTCTTCCACAGCCCGGGAGTCAGCTTCACATCACTGAGGTCTCAGGCCAGATGTCTCCTTTCTGAGCAGCCTTTTCTCAGTCACACTGCCTATTTTCTTGCCCTGCGGCATTTATCTAAACTTCATCTTCTTGTCATGGTTTGCTTATGGTTCTGTTTTCTGTCACTAGATCATGAGCCCCCTTAGGGTGAGGAGGGGGCCTCCTGTCCCTTTGCCAGGCATGCTGAGGCCACTCAACAGATGAGTGCTGAGTGATGGGCGCAGGTGGCGGTCATCTTGCCGTGAAGCCTTACACGCTTTGCGTCTTACCTGAATCGTGGATTGCGCTTCACCCGTCACTCCAGCAACTGCACTGACGCTGATTCCAGAAAGTGCCAGGTGGAAACGGTTGCTTCTTTCGAAATTCCTATTTTGTAAACACATTTCTCTGCCCTAGGGTCGCCCAATCATACTGTGCTGCAAGGATGACACGGAGAGTTCTAAGTTTGCATCTAAGACCATCGAGCTGCCGCACACTGTGGACTGCCTTCAGGGCATCCTGAGCGTGATCCCGCTGCAGCTTCTGTCTTTCCACCTGGCTGTGCTCCGAGGGTATGATGTAAGTCTGTGCACTGCGCCCACGTGCCAAAGAGGAGAAGCAGCCCCGAAGCTCCTTTTTAAAATGTACGCTTTTAACTGACACATACTTAGACGTACCTATGGAGGAGAGTGATGTTTCGGTGCACATATGTAATGTGTAATGCCAGAGTTCTCTTTTCTTTAAATATTTATTTATCCTGAATAGTCTTTGGAGAAATAATTTCATGGCAAGTAACCTTCTTTATAAAGTGGCTTATATCCCTTGAAAACAAGCTGAGAACTGCAAAAAGGTGGAGCAGACCATATCATTAAATCCTAACCTCATTACCCAGAGGCAATGTTTTTAGTTAACAAATAGAGTATTTTTTTCACGTCTTTTTCCTGTTCATGTGAGCTTGTAAAAAACACTTCTCAATATTATATCAAGGATAAAATTTTCTTTCTTTTATTTTTTTGCCATGTTTATGAACTTATTATATGTAACATTTAATCGTTGAATATTTCATTTATAATCTCATAATATGATTTTCCTGACAGTTATTTAGCCCGTCTATTATTATTAAATTTTTCCAATTATTCATTTCATAAATAACACTGCAGTGAACATCTTTGTACTACACCTTGGCTCCACATTTAAGATTTGTCCTTCAGCTAATAAGACATTCTGAGATACTTAATATATATTGCCAAATTATGTTCCAGAAAAGAACTACTTAGGATCTTATGTAAGAACACACACACTTCACTGCGCAAAGAAATAAATGTTTTAGTTACGATTTTATTTGAGATACTTTCTAAAACATGTTACAGAGCCCACAATAGAACAAACACCTGAATGTGTACATAGCATCCAAAACTGACAATCGCTACCACTTTGTCATATTTGTTTCCTCTCCTCTCAAAACATAAAGAAAATAATTCATTGCAGGTAAAGTTGAATCCCACTTTATCACCCATTCCCAAGCCTATTTCCTTCCCAACTTCCACCTTAAAAACAAAAATGTTGTGAAATCGTGTGTATTCTTCAAAAAAAGGGTATTTATTTATTTACTTCACAGTGCCTGGGGCCAGACCCAGGGCCTCATGCCTGCTAGGCAGGTGCTCTACCACTGAGCTACACACCATCTCCCCCCGAAAAGTGAGTTCTAGCAGCACACACCAAGCTAGCTATTTTTAAATTCGTGGTTCATAGTCTTTTAATGGTGTTAGTTACAAGCACGACAGTAGGTACACGCTAAATGTTTACTCAGTGAACTAAACATACAATGACATGAAGCTTCTAGGAGGAATTCATTTCCAAGACGTAGGTTTCGCGGTAGCTCGTGGTCAGGTGCCCGGCAACACCTGTTTCTTGTGTTGCACTCTGTGGTGTGGCACGTGGTTACCATCGTGTGGTCCTGAGCAGCTCGTTTCTTTCCTTTCAGGTTGACTTCCCCAGAAATCTGGCCAAGTCCGTCACCGTGGAATGAGGAGAGCGCCACCTTTAGTCTGATTTGAGACCTGTCACACAACAGGTGCTGCAAGGGAAAAGTGGGCACTGCCCTGTGCCACGTGTTCCAGTAGAGCTTGACAGCTTCAACGTGCCTTGTACCCAAGTGCTTTTGCTTACAGCAAATACTGTTTCTCTGTGTCCTGAAGTCGCCTGAGGAGCAGGAGATTATTGTTTACACATGGGGATCAGAGCAGACCTTTCCGCTGCTGTGCAAAAGAGATACGGCTCTCTCAGAGTAACTGTGAACCTTTTTAAACCAACACTAGTTTTAAAACAAAGTATTTATAATGATGATTGTATAGCTTTTAAGTTATTTTTCTATATGTGGCTTTCTGTGGCCATGTTCATACCCAGGCTCTTCATCTCAGCTACCCACCGCACTGGCTCCGGGTTTGCTCCTGGCGAGTGGCCTCCATCTCAGATTGAGCACAAGGGATTAACCATCTGGACTTCTTTTACCCTCCTCTCCTCCTGGGCTGCTCCTGGTTCCTGCCTTCTGATGTCAGTGAAACCCTCCAACCATCTTCCTATTCCTCCCATAAGTCCAGTTGAAATTTCAGCTTCCTTCAATACTTTTTTCTATTTTAGGACCCAAATCTGGCCAACTGTCAGACTTAGGTTGAATCAGACAATGGTTTGTTTTAAGCCCAAGTAGCGTTTTGGTCCCTGCCCCCTACCCATATTAAAACAGCTTGAAATGTCCCGTGCAAGAGGGTAGTTTCAAATGGCTACCCTGGTCTCTGTTTAAAAGCATGCACAATCAAAAGTACTATGCAATTTTAAGATAGTAAAGACAATACATTTGCATGTGCGTTTATATGTGTGGATTTGGTTAACCTCATTCTTTTTGTGTACTTTAGATATTGCCGACTTCCAAGGATCTCGGCAGGGTCTGGTGGGAAAAGCCGTTGCTTAGTGCCACAATTTGGATGTGGTTTGACATGTCCCACCGGGGTTCATGTGTTGAAAATAGGTATGAAGGGAAATTCTAGGGTCCAAATCTCAGTTTGATTTAGGTCTTTTTTTTTTTTACTTCACAGTACAGCCAAAGTGGTACACATCCAATAGAAACCATATACATGCAATCATTATTTTTATATTTTCAGTATATTTAATAAATTACATGAGATAGTCAACATTTGTTTTATAAAACACCTTTGTGATAGATGATTTTTGTCCATTTGTAGGCAAATGTAGAGTTATGAGCATGTTCTAGGTAGGTGGTTTGATTGGTAGGTTAGGTGTATTAAGTGCATTTTCAACTTACGATGTTTTCAACCTATGGTGGATTTATCCAGTCACAGTCCCACTGTAAATCGAGGAACATCTGCACTCATTTCTGTTCTGGAAAAGGCGGACAGAAATGTAGGTCCAGCATATAGGAGGCCCTAACAGCCCTGAGTGCTCCCCAAAACTCTCCCTTCTCAGGGCCCAGGTGATGATGGCCGTGACCTCCACCCAAACTCCAACTATGGAGTGTTGGCAGGAACCCAAGAACTATGGTGACTTTCCTAGACCTCCATCTAGTCCTCACCAATTAACAAGGGGCTGCCTCCTTCAGGAAATAACTAGACTGTTTTTACCATTCTGATCAAGCCATGGTCAATATAACTCCTAAGATAGGAAACTGTTTACAGTCTAGCCAGAACATGTTTATCTGGTCAAGACTTAGAAAAATGTTTCTGAACCTTACAGCCAAGAAGCAACGGTTGTCTTGACCTTTGTGCTAACATTCCCCTCACTCTTCCTTGTAGTTCTACCTGTGTGTCTATCTGTAATAATATACTTGGCCCTCTTGAGTTCCACTTCCACATCCGTGGATTCAACCAACCACAGATGGAAAACATTTGAAAAATATCCCAGAAAAAAACCCCTATAAAACTTGAAGTTGCTGTACATCAAGTAGTATGCTGAATCTATATGAATGAAGTGATATGTATTAGGTATAATAAATCATCTAGACATGATTTAAGGTACAAGAGTATATTGGTAGTTTATGTGTAAATGCTATGCTGTTTTACATAAGGGACTTGAGCATCCACTGATTTTGGTATCTGGGGGGGGTTCCTGGATCCAACCCTCTGTGGATACCAAGGCACGACAATTGCCTAGTTTTGAGAATGGAGGACCAGCCCACACTGCCCCTGCTGGACGGAGGCTACAGGAGGAGGTGAGGGGCTGGGTCTCCAGGGCACAATCTGACTTCCACTTCTCTGGGCACAGACAAGGCCCTTTAGGGAAGTCATGGGCGAGGCCACCAGTGAGTCTTGGGAGACACAGGGCTCGGCGCAGCAGGACACCTGGCGGCCTGAGGTTGAAGCAGGGACTGGGATGCAGCAGAAATTCGGCCAGGGAGAGGCTGCTCTACGCCTTCTGCTTCTGAGTTCGCTGTGGCCCACTCCTGCTCTGGGAGAAAAGCTGAAAACTGCGCAGTGGTGTGTGTGTCCTCAGCACAGAGGGATAGAAAGGCTCCTGAGCACATGGTCAGCACACACAGGGCAGTGCTGAGAACCTCACCCAGCTCTCCTGGGTGCTCTGTCAGTGATGACAGTCTACTTCTTGGGTCACGGTTGTTGCAGAACGGCTCAGCTGCCGTCCCTCTGGAGCAGAGCTGTCATCCAGATGACCTTCAGCATCCCCCCAGCGACTCTATCATCTCATATGTTGAGGCCCTGTCTCCTATCTGTGTCTTTTTTCTGAGTCTCCTTTTCTTGATTTGATGGGACTTACCCTTGTGAGGAAAGGTGCTGTGGTGTTGTGGTCTGAATGGCCTCACCAACACTCATGCTGAAATTTACCTCCCATTGTCAGGTATTAGGAAGGTTGAAACTCAATCCAACTGTGGTATTTGGAGGTTCAGTGAAGCCCTAAGGATGGGGCCCTAATCCAACAGGAGGTAATTTTATAAAAGGAACCTAAGCCAGGATGTTCTGTTCCTCTCACCATGTGGTTCTCTGCGCTGCTCTGGGACTCTGCAGGTCCACACCAGCAAGGCCTTCACCAGATCAGCAGCCCAATCTTGAACTTCAGCATTCAGAACCTTAGTTCATTCAGCCTGCTATGACAAAATGCAATGCCACTAAGTAGGCAATATAAAAATAAGCAATGTATTTGTTGGTGTTCGGAAAGTTGGGAAGCCCAAAATCAAAGAACCTGAGGAGTTGGTGTCTGGGAAGGACCACTTCCGGGTTCATACACGGAAGTCTTCTCCTGTGTCCTCACATAGCAGAAAGGTGAAGGAGCTTGCTGAGGCCTCTTCTATAAGGGCACCAACCCCATTCGTGAGGGCTCCACCGTCGTGACTTAATCAGCCTCTAAAATTCCCTCTTCTAGTGCCGTCACATTGAAGGTTAGGATTTCAACATATGAATTGCGAGTGCGGGAACAAACGCAGACCACAGAAGGAGGTTACACTTTTTGAAAAGCTTGTAGGTCTGGAAACGACTTTATTAAACTTCACTGAGAGTCTACCGAAATAAAGACTTCTAGGTCAAAAAAAAATCTTTCCCTTCCAAAATTTAAAGGTAAATTTTAAAGATGATACCTGTATCATGTTGCTCCCAGTGTTGTTGCTGAGGAGTCCAAAGCCACTCTGAAGCATCTCTGTAGGGGACCTTTTACCTCCTATTTGTTCCTTGCGTTGTAAAACATCATAATGTGGTGCCTCGGGTCTCTTGTCATTTAGAGTCAACTTCAGCCATAATCCATGCCCTTCAGTTCGGTGGAATATTTTTACAGTTGCTCCGGCCTCTCTAGAATGCCTATTAGAAGTTGAAGCCCTGGATTGACCTGTACATTTGTCCTTCCGTTTGTTTATCTTACTGTCTACTAATTGTGAAACTTAGTCCATTTTTTCTCCCAACCTATCACTAAGATTTTTCATTTCTGCCAACATGATTTAATTTTCCAGAGCCCTTTGTTTTGAGTGTAGGAGTATTTTATAACATGTCTTTAAAGATTAAAGTCCACACTATGATCGTAATTTAGTTTTTATCTAATGTACTTTTTCTGTTCTGGGACACCACATACATGTCTCCTTAGGCTCCTCTTGGCTGTGTGTTTCTGACTTTCCCTGTCTCTTGACGTTGACAGTGCTAGGAGTACTGGTGGGTATTTTGTGCAGTGACCCTCGGCTGGTTATGTGTGATGCTCTTCTCAAGGTTAAAATGGGGTTATGGGCTTTTAGGAGGAAGACCACAGGAAAAGAGCCATTGTCATCACTTTAAATCAAGGATACACACTAGTCTAGTCACTTAGCACTGTGACGCTGACCATGATCATCTGTCTGAGGCAAGTGTGTGCCAAGTTTCTCTATGATAAGGGGACTCAACCTACTTCTGTAATTTTTTGTTGTGTGTATGTGTGTGTCTGTGTACCTCCTTACTTGCACTACAATAAACTCCAGGTTCATCTTGTATATCTCCTGCCCCAGCCTTGGTATCAGCCATTTGCCAGGGATCCCTGGTTGCTTTTATTGGAGAATGGCATTAGAAACCAAGATCTAAGCTCTGGGATGCTCACTGCTCTGATGTCATTGTTTCTAGGCTGCCTTGGCTGAGAGGGCAAGGACATATGTGTGCATGCTGAATTCTCTTCAAATGACTGCTCTTATTTCAAGGATGTGAATTTTTTTCATCCTCTCTGAAACCACGAATGATATATCTTTTCATTTGAAATCTCCTTCTCGATACAGAGCCTGTGTTTCTTTTAATATGCAATTATCTGCTTGATGGCCTTAGTTGTCTTTGCCATGTGAATTCAGGTGTGCTGTTCACAAGCTCTGAGCACACAGTGGGCTTGCTGATGCCCAGACTCACTGTGGGGAAATGTGGGAGCGCTCTAGGGGCTGCAGTGATGTCAGATTCCAGGCCTTCTCTTTAGGGCTGCTCAGATTTCTAGAAAAGAGCTTGCTGGTCCCTTGTGCGGGTGTGAGTTCAGCTGCCGGTACTTTGGAGATGCCCGGAAGAGAGTGCAGAGGGTCCTTCCACACTCCACTGGACAGCATTGCGCGACACCCCTTCCATGCAGCACTGACGTCTCCCCTGTGCCCCAGCCCAGATGCCCCACCTCTTTGGTGGCCAGAAGATAATCCCCTGGGCTTCTGCTTTCGCCAGCTGATTATCTCTCTCCTGCTGTCCTTGTCTGAGCCTGAGTGCCCAGACCAGCTAGCTGACTGGTGCAGGAGCAGCAGCCACACCCACAGCGCTTTAGTCCTTGACTGGTCTGTGACAGAAGGCCTCTCCCACCCCCTGAACGGTGGAAGAGCAGGTGACACAGAGAGGAGGCCACCCCTGGGAGGGGCACGCTGGCAAGAAGAGCAGGGTACAAGGAGAGTACACCAGCAGCTACAGAGGCTCTCGGCCTGGCTGGTGAGCCTGTCCTGCCCTTCCCGTGGTGTAACATGGGAGCATCCCGACACATGTCCTGCTGCAGTGTGGCTGTGGCTGGAGTGGCCCCGTAGCTTCACCACTGAAATGTAGTCCTCAGCAGGAGGTGCTGTATGAAGAGAGTAGGAACTTGGCTCCATCACAGTGCTGAGTCACGTGGCCCCTGGGAAGTGATTAGGATGAAGTCCCCATGACAGACTCCAGGTGGCTTTAAGACAGACACATGTGTGCTCACTCTCTTACCATGTGATGCCCTGGGCCACCTCAGGACTTAGCAAGAAGCCCATCACATGATGCAGCTCCTCCACGTTGCACTTACAGGCCTGAGTCAAAATAAACCCCCTTTTTTCCTGTTTGTGTGTGTATGTATGTGGGTTTTTTGTTTTGTTTTGTTTTTGTTGTTGTTTTGGGGGTTTTGTTTTTGTTTTTGCTTTGTACCAGGGATCGAACTTGTGCTTGCGAGGCAGGCAGCAGCACAAATGAGCTAAATCCTGGCTCCTGTATGTGGTTTTTATTTTTTGTGGTGCTGGGGATCAAATCCAAGGCCTCACCCATGCTAGGCAAATGCTGTACTGGGGGGGGAGGGTTACACCCCCCCCAACCAGAAACCTCTTTTCTTTATAAAGTAGTCTAGGAGTCTATCCAGGAACTTTGTTATAGTCACATACAATAAATGGACTAATACTTGTCCTCCTTGGTTTAAGGCCAAGTTGCCTTTCTACAACACACAGTTGAAGCGGTTCTGACTTACACTCCTGGGCACAGCTCTGACCCTGGTAAAAGTTGAGAAATGGGTTAGGATAGCAGGCAAAGTGAGAGGGAAGGATGTGGAGAGAGAGGAGCTTGAGGAGACTTACCTCCCTGCAGGCCTGATCTACCCTGAGGCTGCCTGCTTATCTCTTAGAGCATCTTATCACAGTATATTCCCCACCCCAGGCTAGGACTGAGTGCACTTCCCACAGAACTAAGGAGCAAATTCCCTGCCCTGAGCACAGCTGATAAGCACAGAGCTGTACTGGAACCTAGGCCAGTCACAGGTACCCAGGAACTGGACCCGTGGAGAGCAACTGTCCTGCAGCTGTACCTACAGCTGGCCTCTGGCCAAGACCTGGGTCTCTGTTCACCTGCTGCCTTAATGCCAGCCCAGGGAGCTGAAGCTCAGTCTCCTCCTGCCTCCTGCACCCTCTTCGCCCTGGTAAAGAGACTAGCATGGGCAGGGGAGGGAGAGGAAAAGAAGAAAGAGGTAAGCTGAAGGTTTTGGGGAGGAGTGGCTAGGCAGGTGGCCTTCATCACAGCGGGTCCACAGCCAGGGGCCATAGGGCTGACGGGGTGAGGACCAGGAAAGGAACAGGAAGGCAGAGGCTGGGAAGTGAGCTGCAACAGGTGCTCCTCTGGGTGGGAAGCAAGGCAGAGGGCCTCATGTCTGGAAATCAAGCCAGGTCTTCAAGTTCCTCCCACTCCTCTGTCTGCCCTGCTTGCCCTACGTCCTTCCTGTCACTAAGACCTGACAGTCTCAAACCTTCTTAGGTCAAGTTTGTTTAAATACAGTTC